CACTGCTGCTAACAAATTACTTGTGTAGTCACAGTCTCACAGACTGACAATTAACCAGTGTTTAGTCACAGTAACCTATTGTGTTGTCACAACGACTAACAATGATTCAATTGTCAGTCATTATAACTATTTTTTATTCAGCAGCACTAATGTGTTGTCACATTCCACATCCTGTGACTACACAGTAGTTACTAGCCATAAACCTTAATACTGTTAAACGTATCACGGGGCGTGAATCACTATGACGTAGGATGAATCAGGGTCTATTAAAATTAATGGACTACTTTTCTCAGTGTGTTGTCATAGTCACTGCATACCAGTGTCTGTTTCTCCTAACATGTAATAGTGTATAGTCACGCGTACTACACAAGTATCTTGTTACTATTTGACCATCAACTCAAACATAAAGGTGACTACACACTACTGCACTACTGACAAATGTATTTTATTTTAGACAATGAAAATCACTATAAAAACATAATATATAGTGGGTCATATAACATGTATTACACATTATGTTTACTTCAAGAGCACGAGCAGGTGATACCAGCCGTAGGCATGAACCAATGTGGTTATTACAAGAGCGAGATGATGATTACAAAAGTGAGAGATTTCTGATCCAAATGAGTATTATGCCAAACTTCATCGAGAATGGGCTTTTTGTGGTAATGAATCACAGTCATTATGCACAGATCTGAGAGAACTTGGTATACCGGTCCCACATAGACTTTCAATTACCATGCCCCAAAAGAATAGAGTCAACTATGAAGCAACAATTAAATGTATACGAAAGGAGAATAATAGGATAATGTCGCGTAAGTGCCGATATTATATGCTCCAAATAGCATCTGACATGGTGACAATTGTATTTAATAGGGAGTTAATAGTTACTGAGCGATCTAAGGTATTGTCCAATAAACAATACCTATCAGATGAGTATATGTCGGATGAAAATTAACAATTATAATTAGTGTCCACCTTATTAAGCATATAACATTTATGTCTATGTCCTTTTTACTTTAATCAATATTGTGCATTTATGAGTTTATTCAGGATATTGTCATATCTCAACTTTTTCGTTGTCATATCTTGTCATTGTCAAATTAGTTTTCAACTTTGCAATGTAATGTCCTATTTACTTTAATCTATCTAGTGGCTTTAACAAATCAATGCAGTGTGTTGTCATATCCCAACTTTTTCATTGTTATTTTGCATCATTGTCAAATCACCAAATCATGCAGATTGGTGTCCTTGTACTATAATTTTTAATTGCCAAACCGAGCATATATATACTATTATTCACAATTGTGTAAATGCACCATCACTAAACAAAATGTATAGGAGCACATCATGTACAAGTTCTTCTTCACACAATGACCAAAATAGTTCATATTCCGGTAATAAACGTGAACGCTCAACAAGCAGCTCAACATCGTTGAACAAAGTTCCTTCTATCGAATCATATACTAATTCTACTGGTGTAACGTGGTATAGACGAAAGCGTGCATTTCGCAATGAGCCCATCGACCCTTATCACCCATTCGGACAAGCTGGACATGTAATTGTTAGGCTTGTAACTGATTATTCACCTCTAGGTGCTCATATTGAACCCACACCAAGATGACGACAGTTATATGAAAAACGTTGTGACCTTAAAATTTTTTGTCGTTGGCATGGAATTGTGGTACCAAAGGCACGTTCTACTGATATTTACAATTCACAGAATTCAAACAATCATGACGAGATCATATCAAGGCTTGAACGTGAAAATGATCAAATGCAATGTCGTCTTGATCATTTCCATGCACTCAATTATGCTAAAATAGAGCATTTTGATCCTAAATATGCTGAAATTAAAATATTAGAGGATCAATTACTTGTTACTGATCTTGAGCTTTCTGATTTCTTTGATTTGGACGATGATGCATTTGACACTTTTGTCCCATCATGTTTATATGTACTCGATAATCTTGTATGTTGTTTTGAATATCAATCACGTTGTTGACATCCTTTTTTAACATGTACACGTTTTGAATAAATTATGATTTTTCACAGCTTAATAAACATTAATGTCGACATGATCAACATTGCAAATAAAATTTTATTTTTATTTTATGTATGCATTTATAATTATATGATAAAAAATAAATTAATTATATGTATACGTTTTCAATTTTTTAAGTTTCATATGCTTAAAAATATAAGTATATTTAAATTATCAAAATTTATTTATTGAATGTAATTAATTTTTAAATAAATAAAAAAAATCATCCTCTCAAAAAGAGAGGGAACAAAACATTTTTAGAAATTAAAATTAATTAGAAATTGATTAAAAATTATATTTATTTGATTCTTTCGTAATATTTTATAAAAAAATACGGTAAGTTTCATAGTTAGTCATGAATTTTATCTCCAATTTCAAGTTAATCCATGAACTTTCACTTATTTTATTTTAGTCCCTCAACTATCAATGATTGAATTGAAATAAAATTAGTATTTGATGGATTAAATTAAAAAAATTAAAATTTTAGGGACTACATTAAAATCCGAGGGAAAATGATAAGAGTCACTTATGATAATTACCCAAATAAATATTAATTAATTTTTTTATTCAAGTATTAGATTTTTATTCAAGATTTTTTAATTTTTTTATTCAAGCATTTTGGACTAATGTCTTTTTAGTTAATAAAATAGGCATATGTGGAGGCAGACGTGATGACATCCTTTAGTTTTAAATATTAATATAATTTTTTAACTTAGGCATGAAGGTAAAAGTCCTTTTAAGTTATATGGATTTTGTGGACTTGGTCTGACGCATTGAAGATTTTAAAATAAACGCGTCATTTGGACCGACGCTGCTTCTAAAAGACATCAATCCAACTCACGTGTTTTAACAATTTATTGGATTCCATAATAAGCATAAAAACGTCAGTTGATCCAACGTTTTTAAGCTAAAGACGTCAAATCAACTGACGACTTTTGGCTTAAAAATATCAGACCAAATGACGTTTTTAAAATAGCCTGGGTTTGAAAAATATTTTGAAATCAAGCCTTAGTTGAGATTTTTTTAAAAAAAATCCTACTTATCAAAAGAGGGTTTTTGTTCATCCGATAATTGTTGCTTGTAATTACAAACTTCTAGAGTTCGCCTTGTAGGTATGAATCTCGAAAACACATAGCTAGACGAAGTGGAAATACTTGCGTATTCAACCTTGAATTGTTTGGGTATTCACTTGGCTCAGCCACAACCGGGGCAGAGCCAGAAAGTCATGCCAGAGTGGGCACAAATATTTTAAAAAACTAATTTTTTTTTTATAATTTATAGAAATAAGACAATAATTTATATTTAATTACATCCTATTTAATACTTAAAAGTTCATTAAATTCAACAAACCAAAATTTAATAAGCTTAGTATATACAAACGACACCAAATTATTCTTTTTTACAAAATATAGGTCAATTAAAATTATTTAGAATTGACTCTGGTGAATTTTTATTTTTTGAAATCATTGCTTAACAACTTTATTATTTTTTATATACACCATCATTTTATCACTTTGGTCTTTATATACATAACATGTCCAAAATGTATCAAAAAAATTTATATTCTTCTAGTTGGGCAATTGGGAGTGAGTGAGACAAAGAGGAAAAAAAAAGATAACTAATAAGATAAGTGTTACTGATGTCTGTCAAGTGGGCCAAAAATTTTGTTTTTTAATGGTGGACCAAAAATTTTATTTTTTTAATCGATTTGGGTGAGTTGTGATAGGTCAAAGATTTAATTTTTTAATAAGTTTTGGTAGATAGTAGTGGGCTCAAATTTTTTTTATTTTAAATGGACTTAATTTTTTAATTCTTTTGAGTAAATAATGTGGGTCTATTATTTTTACCTTAGATTTTGGGTGAGGACACATGGTGAAATTCTCTCCTCGGATGAGCACCAGGAAAGCAAACCCTAAATAAGAACATCAAAAGCTACTTTGAAAGAAAAATAATATTTAAAGCTACAGAACAATATCTACTTTGCAAGAAAAATAATATTCAAAGCTACAAAAATGATAGAAAGGCATCAACTTTGTGAAGATAAGATTCAAATAGGAAACTTTAGTGAAATTCGCACGCAAGGAACATGCAAGATTCATCCCATGCAAAGGCAAAGCCCTTGCATTATATAAGCTCAATGAATCAGAGGTTTGGTAGCCAGTACAGTTCTTAATTATGGCAACTTCGGGCAATCTATTGACAGTTGTTCTACTTGTTTCTTTTTCATTCAATGCATTTGGGGTCGAAAGGGAGTGTGATTGTTCAGTGCCCGTTGAGCGAGACAGCTTTCCCAAGGGATTTGTATTCGGGGCGGGAACATCTTCCTATCAAGTAAATCACGGTTTCCATTATTATTTGTATTTAAACTATGTAATGCCAATGAATAATGAATCTAGCTACTGAAAGTGCTTATAAACTTTTCTTTTACCCTTACAGATTGAAGGTGCTTATAATGAAGATGGTAAAGGATTAAGTATCTGGGATAATTATACTCACACACATCCTGGTATCTCTCTCTCTCGGGAAAACATTAAGAAATGGACAATAGCTATGTATGTTATATAGAATTCTCTATAAATATGGAAAAAAAATGAACTCTAATACTTGAAATTAATACATACAACTCGAATAACTGATTTTCCGAAAGAAGAAAAAAATTAATAATATATACTTTCTATTCCTTCATTATATAAGATTATTGTTAAATGCAGAAAGGATTGTGAACGAATCCAATGGAGATGTGGCCGTTGATTCTTATCATCGCTACAAGGTATAGTGCTTTGATAAATTTTCTACTATATCTTGGGGATTTGGTAAACCAAGTCTAGCAAATTTTGATTTTAATAGTAGTGGTAACATTTTTATTTATGTTGTTGCAGGAAGATGTGTGCATGGCCTAACAACTAGGCCTAGATGCTTATAAATTCCAAANTAAAGACGTTAGACCAATTGACGTCTTTTGGCTTAAAAACGTCAGACCAAATGACGTTTTTAAAACTATCTTTGGTTTGAAAATTATTTTCAAACCTACCCTTAATTGGGACTTTTTTTTCAAAAACACTTGATATGGGTAAAAACCTCCATACATTCGGATAAAATGACTCTCCATGAATGTGTAACGTGTCGCTGGCTGTCCAACTTTTTTTATTCTGAGAATTTAGAAATAAGTGGAATTTTCTTATGATTTTTTCAGAGATCTGCATCCAGCTCCAGCACCCAGTCGAGGGGTCCCAAAGCATGTGCCAAAGTGATGCCTTTGCGTTGAGGAAGCTGGTTAATCTTGTGTGATTCTTCCTGTGTCAGTGACCAATCAAATATCTGAAGGTTTTGCCTCATTCTCTCCTTGTTAAAGCTCTTTGGTACCAAACTCACGCCTTGTTCATACACCCATCTCAGAGAGACCTGCAAAATGTAAGCTAGTATTTGAGGCTCTTGCATGCGTAACTAAATCGCTTGTAATTTCACATGATACATGAGGGGTACCTCGTGTATTTTTTTCAATGCCTAGGTAGGATTTATAATGATAAATCACGAATTTGACGATGTAAATATAATAGTGTCGTACCATATTTTGGCGAAAAGGTCCGACCTTTGCTGAACAAGAACACGATGGTAACGTCTTCCACTGCCTTGGGCACAACGTATACACAAAGAGGCGAAAAGAACATGCTGGGTAGGGGGACGTGCTTCCTTTATGTATTCAAGGCCTTTAAGAATGCTAACCATCAAGGAACCCAATTTGGCTAAGGATGACCACAAAATACTGATGTATTAAATAACAACCCTTCATTTGTTAATGTTTACAAATCTGACCCTGATTTGCAAACATATGTATCCTACAATCCTTCCAAGAGTAGTAATCAAACCAACTTTGGTATAAGTAAAAGTTAATGGGCCACAAAATTCCTACTATCTTCCACTTGGCCCTTAACCACCAACTAGGGTGGTTTTACATTTTAAAACTAAACATTTAGGATAGTTTCCCTTTAAAACTAACTCAAAAAACGAACACAATGTACCGCTTTGAAAAGCACCCTTTAGAAAGATCAAGAGATTCTAGTGAAGTGTCACCTTTATTCAAAAAGCAACGTTGGAATAGGAATGTTTCAATGTTTGCATATTATTCGGCACCAGTCTAGTTCTACTGTATTTTAAATTTATGTGATCTTATTGTGATATTGTTTACACCAAAAAATAGTAAAATATGAGGGTGACACATGGATGCAATTCGATGGTCATGAAAGAGTTTGTAAGAGTTCATACTTGACAAAGCGATTAAGGAAGTGGGGCTCTAAGAATCTTGAAAAGCGGAAAAACGTGACATCATGAGCTGTCAGTTAGAGATGATTGAATATATGTCTCCACATCTCGCAGGAAAAAGTCATGATTACAGTCATGACCAAAAAAGATAGCATTGGCAGTTGAAGGTCATCCCTATAAATAACAAGGGTAAGGCTACAAAGAAATGATTCATGATTAAGCACAAAAAACTCTACATAGAGTCAGCCTCTCTCCTACTTATTTGTTTTTACTTCCCAATAACTTTACTTTTACTTCTAATTCATCGCTACAGTGATCGTTACCGCTTACATTTAATTTTAAGTACAGTACTCTTTTTTTTTTCTAAGTTTAGCATATCTGCTACTTTACATTCCAACTTTATTTCTATGTTCTAATCCATTATGTAATTAGTTGAAAAATTATTTAAAATCCTTGATTTCGAAGGCAAAGAAAAAAACTCAGATGTAGCTTTACACCTCATTACAATCACTTAAACAGTCACAATTTTAGAACCTCACATCAGTTTAAATAAATAGATCATACGTGTTTAGATTTTAAGTCCAATCTAACTTTGGCACGTCCACTAGAACCCCGAGTAGCTACATGCCGAGCACCTATGAAAAATCTAAAATTGGCTCATCAAAAGTGCCTCTAGTAGACAAGGCTATTGAAGAGAGCAAGACTGGCATCCCCAACCTGGAGGAAGAGTTACCTCTGCTCAAGGGGGCAAGAGAATCGAGAATCCGACTCAGAGCCGAAGGTTTTGATTAAGGCATTGTCAAAAGAAGTCTCCCATCAAGTTTTCGGGGTTCATCAACGGCCTACGGACTTGATTAGAGAAGAATCTTGTCACACTAAATAGGCGTTGGAGCGGCTATTTAGCGGTTTAAATCATAAATTACAGAGAGCTAAAAGCAGGAAAATGAGTATCAGAGAGTTGAAGAGGATCAATCCACAATTGGAACGGTTTGATTCACAAGATGGCACAAGGAATGGATAGAGAATTATTAGGCATTGATCCCTTATAAAATTGGATCGATTTGTAGCATGAAGATTTGACAAAAAGAAGAAAAGGTTTGATCCATATTTATAAAGGATCAATGCCATGGTGAAAAACAAGTTTGGACCGATCCCCTATAAATATGGTTCAATCTTTAAAGGAAGATATTGACAGAGAATGCTTAGGGGTCGATCCCTCCTTCATATGGGTTGATCCCTATGAGACCAAACTGGGAATTATGTGTGGATCAATCCTCTGATGTTATGGATTTTGATTCGGGGGAAAGTTACTTGAAAGATTTAGATTCCATTTCTGTCTTGACTTGCAATCCTATTATAAATATATCCTCATGCTATTGAGAGGGGTTATTATTCTGATCCCTAGCCAAGCAGCCATTTGACGCAGATTTATTTATTTTTTAATACAATTATTGGAGATTCAACCATGAAATGTGAGTAGTCTTTTTGTAGTTTCTAGCTAGAATTGATGGATTTGTAATTATTTATCCGAATCTTTATGATATGCAATTGTTATTCTAATCTCAATGCTACGTCTTTTATTTATTCGATTGATTGAATTTTCTTAGTAAAATTAACATGGATATCTAATATTGCATAAATATAGTTATTTAATAAATATGAGCAAATCCAAACCCGGGAACTAGAGAGTTGTTTTTCGAAGTATTATTTACTTTAAACTTATCTTTGCAAATTATTTTCCAAATGCTCTTACTCTTTTCAAAACTCATTTTGCCTTACACTTTTATTTAATTTACCCCTTCCTCATTGATTGATCTCGGACTGCATAGAATTATTACTATAGGTTGATCATCTGCACTTGGGTGCATTTTCGGAGTTCAAGCAATGCCCACCAATAAAGTGGTAAAAATCTTCCTTATGATGGTGAACATATGGGAAAGGGTTCATTCGAGGGCCAAATTCTTGTTTTTTCAATAATAAAATCAATAAAAATTCTAGCAAGCCAACAATATTTGTAAGAATTGCGGGCTATGGATGCTTAGTTGATCTTAGGTTTGAACCAGGATCGTGGTCGACAGAGAAAAGCAACGGTGATATGGCCCATGTCCAACCCGTACAAGATCATCATGTCTATCTTACGAGGCTGAATGTTCATGGTGCATCTGCTAGAGCAACACCCATTGAAGACAATGAGGATGATGATAAGTACTTGACTATATAGAGAGTGACTTACGCAAATATTAGGGATACCTTCATGTTGAGAATTTCCTTGATTGGTTGGTTGAGCTAGAAATATTCTAAAACTATATGGTCATTCTGGACGAGAAAAAGGCGAAGCTAGTGGCTTATAAATTTAAAGGAGGGACTTCTACATTGTGTGATTCAGTGAGGAAAAGAGTAAGAGCATTTGGAAATTGCCAATGCCCAAGGATGTAAAGTTGGTGTCTTGCAAATGGGTGTACAAATTGAAAAAGAAAGCAAATGGGAGCATTGATAGATTCAAAGCAAGGCTTGTTGTAAGAGGCTTCTCTCAAGTATATGGAGAAGATTATGAAGAGACTTTTAGCCTTGTAGCAAATATGACATCTGCTTGGGTTGTGATCTCTTGAGCAACTTCTCTTGGTTGGAAGCTATATCAGCTTGATGTAAAAAATACTTTCCTATATGGCGAAATTGATAAGGAAATCTACATGGAGCAACCCCTTAGCTTTGTTTCTCCAACTCACTCAGAGTATGTGTGAAAACTCAAGAAGGCNCGTTGTGATCTCTTGAGCAACTTCTCTTGGTTGGAAGCTATATCAGCTTGATGTAAAAACTACTTTCCTATATGGCGAAATTGATAAGGAAATCTACATGGAGCAACCCCTTAGCTTTGTTTCTCCAACTCACTCAGAGTATGTGTGAAAACTCAAGAAGGCTCTCTATGGCCTTAAACAAGGTCCAAGGGTGTGGTACAGTAAGATTGCCGAGTCCTTACAGTTTTGTAGTTATTTTGCTTCTAACTCATATTCTAGTTTATTTGTAAAGAAGCAAGGATCACTGCACATGATTGTTCTAATATATGTGGATGATATGATCATTACCAACAATGATGCACAAGAGGTTGCAAAACTTCTAGCTGAACTTTCTATTTGATTTGAGATAAAAGATTTGGGAGAGTTAAGTCATTTTTTTAGCTTGGAAGTGAAAAAAGGTGAAGGATGGGATTTTTCTATCTCAGGAAGGCTATGCTAAGAAGCTTGTTGACAGGTTTGAATAAATAAAAGCAAGTACTATTCCACTCCTCTTGACCCTAACTTTAAAATTAGGCATGATGAAAGTAAAATTTTGTCTGATCCCCGACCTTATCGTGCTCTTGTTGGTAGTATAATTTATTTAACTATTACAGGGCCAGATATTTCTTTTTTCGTTGGGCTTGTTAGTCGCTATATGCAAGAGCCACAGAAATCTCACCTTGATGCGACGAAGCGGATATCGAAGTATGTGAATTCTACTTATGACACGGGACTTCTTTTTAAGAAAGGGGTTGAATTTTCTCTACTTGGTTTTACGGATGCGAATTAGGAGGTGATTTGGATGATCGAAAATCTACCTTTGGGTATGTGTTTTCATGTGGTTCGGCATGTGTCTCTTGGTCTAGTAAAAAGCAAGACTCGGTCTCGCTTTTTACTACCGAAGCAGAGTATAAGGCTTCCACTCTTGCTGCTCAAGAATGCACTTGGCTTCATTGGCTTGTTGCAGATGTGTTTTCACCTATTCATAAACCTACAAAAATTCTTGGTGACAATCAAAGTGCTAGAAAGTTGGCTACTAATTTGGTGTGTCACGCAAGAACAAAGCATATTAAGATCAAGCAACATTTCATTCGTGAGAAGGTGCTTGAAGGAACAATTGAAGTATCGAAGGTGCGGAGCAAGGACAACATTGCAGATATCTTCACCAAGTCTCTCTCTAAGGGAACATTCTAGAATCTTCGTGCGGAGCTTGGACTTATTTCCAAAGGTTCACTTTAAGGGGGAGTGTTAAAAATTTAAAATAAACTTTTGGTAATTATTTATTTAAATATTTTATTTTTTAGGGATGTAGTGAGGATTAATATATTTGAGAATTTCAATATCTAGAACCTTGTAGAATATGTTTGTACTTGGTATCCTTCTTGACCCTTTAACCAACATCTAGAACCTTCACTTTTCTATCAATGCTCACCACTAAGTTACAATTCTTGAACCTTCCAAACCTCCACCTACCTTGAGCTTGTAGACCATTCTCTAGTCACCTAAAAATAGACTCCCCACCAACTCAAATCACCAAGCCAACAAAAACACAAATCACCAACAACAATTACTAGTTTATTCCTATTTTCTCTCTTATAAGTTTTTTTCTTTTGTAAGCTTTCTCTTTTGTAAGTTTTTGATTGTAAGCTGGTATCTTAGATTTCTCCATAACAATAAAAGTCTTTTTCTTCCCTCATTTTTTGGAGCTATATTCTAATTTATCCGTTCTTCTTCAACTTCGATTGTGAGTCTTGGGCTAATAAAAATTTATTTTTCACTATTCTAAGAAAGTAATTTACGGAATTGAAATTTGTCTTTCTTCACATATTTGCTACAAAGGAAATTTTTTAAGTATTTGATCTCCAAGGCAGAGAAAAATATCTAGAGGTAGCCTTACACTTTGACTCAATCACCTGAACAATCAGGATTTTAGAACCTTATTCCGATTTAAATATGTAAGGTCTTAAGTGTTTGAAATCTGAATCCATTCGAACTTAGTATGCCAATCCAAATGAAGCCAAAAACTCCCATAATGGCCACTCTTTAAAACCATCATTCAAAGTACTTCAGTGAGGGCAATTATGAGATGTAAAAGATAAGTGATTTACTTTTGATGTTAAAAGTGCCTTTATCTGTTGCTTTTGGGCTTTCATTATCTAAAGGACAAAAACGAGCTGTTTGCTGCCCTCCAACTAGTAATTCTCTCAAAATTTTTGCAATTCATTCACTTATAGTGATGGATTATATCTTAATTCATCATAAAAATGATTGTTTTAAACTGAATGAGATCAGAATTGACACTGTTGACAAATCATACCCCAGCAAGCTAGCTTGTATTATCTTTTCCAATTTATAGAACACAAAGAAAAGCATTTAAAAGTCAATAGTAGAACTGTAAAAACCTGGGCAGCAGTTTTCCCTTTGGCCTTGGCAATTTCCTCGAGCACATCACACTCCACAATTCTGTTGTCTCCCCATGTTGTTCCATTGGCACCCAAAGGACAGTAAGCAGTGATATGAATACCCTTTGCCTTGCAAAACTCCCTTAGTTTCTTTTGTTGCCAAAGTGGGTTCATCTCCACCTTTTCACAACCCAAAACTTGAATTAGCATCAGACTCTGGCTGGTCGACATGAAATGAAGAATCCAATTTGGTAAAATTACAGTTTTCCCCCTCAATTGTGACCTTTTTCTCACATTACCCTCATATTTACCACACTTTTCATATAGCACCTTCAAATATAATATTAGTTCTGTTACCAATTTGACAGAAAGTTAATTCATTTTGCCTTATAAACCAATGTTTTTGGGTAATGTGACACAAATTCAATTAGTTGAGTGACATTGTGAAAAATTAAAATAGTTCAAGGGACAAATCGAAATTGACTCCTTAGGTAAGGGGGGCAAAGGGTAATTTTCCTTTGAATTACTCACCTGATTGATGGCCGGAGGAATTTTGGCCACTGAGAGAAGCTCCTCAAGTTTGTTGCAAGAGAAATTACTGACACCAATGCCCTTGGTGAGGCCAAGATTTTGACACTCTTCCATGGCTTCCCAAACAGACTTGATATCTAAAGGATGTGTGGATTCTTTTGAAAAAGGGGTTTGATGTACCGTTCCGCTCAACCTCAATGGCCAGTGTATCAAATACATGTCAACATACTCCAACTGGAGGTTCCTGTGCACAAAAATAAAAAGCTACCAATGAAAAAAAAACATTTAAATCCCTTAATGATATATACAATTTATGAAGCAATCCTCATAATTTCAGAGAGTTCGTTCTCCAAATTTCAGTCCATTTTGCTAGACGTCTGCTTTAAAATCTATCGAAAGAATTCACCAATCTGTATGATGGTTCAGTGATCGTACAAATTAGAAGTAAATTCGTAAGTCCTGAAATCGAATCCGCCTGATTCAATGATGTGTGATTGAGACTAGTTTCCGTTAAAAATAAACAGAGAAAATTCTGGTTCTCTGCCCAGGCATGTGATTGTGTGTGCTCATGTGTATGTCAAAAAAGATTATGGAATGGTGGAGTGAAGTGAATTACTCGAGGCTCATTTTACAGGCAGGAACCACTTGATCACGTTCAGCGAAGGTGCACCATAGCTTGGTTGTGATGAAGAGCTCATCGCGGGACTTAATGAGACCAAGGCGTAGAGCGTCAGCAACTGCTTCACCAAGAGGCTTCTCGGATCCATATAAAAAGGCAGTATCAAAGTGACGATAGCCTGCTTTCATCGCTTCCAGAATCGCTGATTTTGCTGTTTCTGGATCAACCGGAGGATATGAGGAAGTGCCCATCCCAATCACCGGAATAGCCTTTTCACAAGAACCCAAACTTATCTCAGGAACCATTGTCATGTTTTACAAGCTCTCTTGTTCTTCCAAAAAAATGGGCCCTTTGGGTTCTATGTTACAAGTTCAAAAATTACTTCCGCTAAACCATTCCGATCTGCTTTCTGAAAGTATCAGCTGCGTTTCTAAACCGTGTTTGTTGACTATGTCTCATCCAACACTAGGGAAGGAATCATCCGGTGAAGACCTTTGACAATTTCCGGAGTTTGGTCGATTGGCATATTCTATTGCCGTGCCCGCCCATCTATCTTGTTGGTCAAATTATTTTAAGAAGAAAAAGAATTTTTAGTCCATAAGGTATGCACGTTAATTTTGTCAATTTAGTTTTTAAAATATCAATTTTATCGATTTAATTTTTAAAGTATTCAATTTATATTTAAATGATCCTTACATAGACAAACTGTTAAGTTTTAAACGAAATGATCATATGTTTGACAGATGATATCATCTGAAAGAATGACAAATAATCACTTTCGTAAAAAAAATTAACGAATTGTCTAATTAGAGACCAAAGTTATATGAATTGAAATTTTAAAAACTAAATTGATAAAATTGATATTTTAGAGACCAAATTGATATAATGGACATATTTTAAGGTCTAAAAATATTATTAACCCTTATTTTTAATGAGCATTGATTAGATTAGCATTGAGTTTAGAACTAAACGATGACATAATACGTGTTTATAATCTGACCATGTCAGATTATTTGATACTATTCGATAGATTTATATATTAAAATTTTATTTTTTGTATGAAATTTAGTTTATTATTTAATAAAAAATCTTTATTTTCTATTTCAGTGAGAAACGATGTTGGTAAAATATTTGTATTATATTAAATATATGATATGTATATGTGGTTTTTATTTTATATTATAAATAATCTGGTATGTAAAGTTCGGCTTATACACAGAATATTAAATTATATCATATTCTTGCATAATATAAGTAAAGATTCATAGTCTTAGATAGAATTAGACACATTATTAGTAGGAGTACAATCCAATCTTCTAACATAGTTTGTCTTAGCTATAGGAGATTGTCTGATATCTCAAATTATTGCACTAGTACACTATATATTTGATATAACCATTATTGAGATTATTTTCTTTTACTTACTAAATAAGTAAATAAATACCTCATGGTTATTATGATTGTTTAAACTCTTAGTCCTGAGATATTTAATTAACACGTGCATATAATGATAGTTACTTTAGTTCATAAAAGAGTGAGATTCATATTTGGGTCAACAAACTCAATGAATTGGAGATGTCATTATTTGTATGGTGACAATTAATTATTAAATAAAACCGTGTCCAGGTATTTAAATGGGTTGATGATGTCATTTTAAGAATGCTCGTAAATTTTGGCCATGTCAAACCCTATAGGTGAATTTAATTATCTGACATGACAAATAAGTCGAAGGTAAGATCTCAATGATTAAAAAAAATCAATTAAATATAATTGTCAATAATTTAATTAGTTGACGGATACCCATAATTTTAAACATGTGGAGATTATTAAGCATATAATAATGAGGAGCTTAAAATATAATTTTCAGATAAGGCCAACAAAATCAATAATAAGTTTTTAGTAGATTAATTTATTATTAATGGATCATAGGATGCTTATTTTGGGTTGGACATAGGGTTCCTAGGCCTATTGAAAGTTCGACTCTTATTTCTCCTTAAGCTCTCTACTATAACCTATAAATAAATGCATTCTTTAGTTCTCTCAATCTTAACCTTTATCTTCACATTTATAAAACGTAGAGAGAAAGCAATGGAGATAATTCTAAGGATTGCAGCATACACTGCATTCGAATTTTTGGCATAAAAGGATATACGATAGAAAATCGTTAGATTCATTGAGTCCGTTGTTCAATCTACATCTATTTTCGTTCGTGTGGATCTACTCATCAAAGATAAACCTTAATTCTACTTTGTAAAGCTAACAAATTAGTAAATTTTTTTTGCCAATTATACATGCTATCAATGAATCTTGGGATTGCGTTCCAAAACTATTATCCCGGATGGGTTACTTGTACATGACATTAACGCTAAAACAAACAATGAGATCCAGAAAAATGCTGGATTTTGTAACTAATTTAATGGGTGAAACATGGAAGGTGAGCTCAGCGCTTAGTTTTTGGGAGAATTATATTTAGACGCATTGAAGTTTGTCACTTAATTACTCAGATTTTTTGATATTTGAAATATTAGATATAGTCCCCCTAAGGTTTGTACATACATAACATTTAGATCTCTACATCCAATGTCCGTTAGTATATCCATTAGTAAATTACAGTTAGACCTCCTAAAGTTTAGAGTCGTATAATATTTAGACCCTTCAAATTTAAAGTGTTATATTTAGACTAAAAATACTTTAATCAAAGAAAGAATATCGAATATTTTAAATTTTATAACCAAAATTCATGTTCTATTATGATATTAGTGAAATAAAATTAAAATTAAAATTTTAATTTTTTCTTAAAAAATATAATTCGTAGACAATTTTACTATCTATTGGAATTTAATTTGGTCAACTACCAAATTACACCAATTAAAGTTAGAAGATATTGTGTCAATTATAATTTGACTTTTTTCTTATTTTTTAGCTATATTCTAATAGATAGTATAATTGTATATTAACTATAATTTTTTAAGAAACAATTAAATTTTTATTTTTGATTTTATTTCAATAAATGACATAATAGAATATGAATTTTGGTTATAAAAAACATGTTCTATTATGAATGACTTAGACCACTTGTTTGATTTTTTAGTTTTATTCCAATAGATAGAATAATTGTTTACTAATTATGATTTTTTAAGAAGAAAATTAGATTTTTATTTTTAATTTAATTTCCTTAAATGATACAATAGAATATAAATTTTGATTGTAGAATTTAAAATATTTGATATTTTATTTTTAATTGGAGTATTTTTGCTCTAAGTATAACATTTTAAATTTAAAAAGTCTATATATTACACGCCTATAAACTTCAAGGGATTTAAATATAATTTAATTAACACATCAATTTGCAAGAATTCACTTACCTTCGTTTCGACTGGAAAATCGTCAAACTCCTCCGAGCCCATTTCTAAGAACTCTAAGTTCTTCAACTCTTCAACACAATCACCACTTAGTTTATTTTACACAGGCAAACGTTATGCAAACTACAAGGAAGAATTTACTCACAAACTCAAGAAAACATGAGTTGACAGCTTATTCTCCAAAACCCATGAACTTAACCCCTCCTTTTCCATTTCTTCTTTTACCTACCGATTGATGCATAAACAACGCCTTTATATTTTTACCAAACAAAAGGTTGGAAAGACACCATGATGCCAAGTGTCCTCCCCACTCAAGTTTTTACCATAACTACACTAACATCCCCCCTTGTTCCTTTATTCTAACATTTTAACTGCCAAACTTCCCAACACTTTTAAAATCTCATCTATACATTCACTACCTTGTAATTCAGCAATAAAATTCTCAATTAAAACGTACCTAAATTTTCAAATTTAAATTATCATAATTTAAACCCATGCAAATATTTATAAATTACACTTAAACCCACATTTATTTTAAAATGCTATGTTATGCATGCTTGGTTCTCACAACTCTTTCCCTCTTAATAAATTCCGTCCTCGAAATTTTACTTACCATGTTGAAAAATATGAGGGTATCCTACTCACATATTCTCTTCACTTTCCCAAGTTTCTTCTTCCACTACATGACTCCGCCACAAGATGTTAACCATTGGTATAGATTTTGAATGCAACACTTGTTCAATTTGAACTAGAATCTCAACTGGTTCTATTACATATGTCAGATCTTCCTTAAGCTCAATAGGTTCCTCTGCTAACACATGAGATGGATCAGGTATATATCTCCGCAGCATCGACACATGGAACATATCATATAGTCGAGAAGGATTCGATGATAAAGCTAAATGACAAGCCACTGCTTCAATTCATTCAATGATTACAAACGGCCCAACATATCTTGGACTCAACTTACCTTTCTTAACAAACCTAATAACCCTTTTCCATGAAGATACACGTAAGAATACTTGATCACCAACATCAAATTTCAAGTCCCTTCTTCGATCATCTATATAGCTTTTCTACCGACTCTAAGCAATTTTAAATTGCACCTGAATTACCTTTACCTTATTTGCAGTTACTTGCACTAATTCAGGACCTAATATCTTCCTTTCTCCCACTTCACTCCAGCATACAGGTGTCCTATATCACCTTCCATAGAGAGCTTCATATGGCGCCATACCAATACTTGCTTGGTAGTTGTTGTTATATACAAATTCTATTAGTGGCAAGTGTTCTTCCCAACTACTGCTACAACTTTAAATATGTAAATCTAAGCACAGGTTGTGCAAAGTTTTGGAAGACCGAGGTCGAACCCTCAGGGAATTGTGAAAACAAACATACACCACACTAAACTATTAACAAAATTGAAAAAATATATTTTCAAGAAGAATGTTTGAATGTGTATAATTAAATAAATTGATTAAAATAGTGTAAAAATACTAGAGCATTAGGTATACCCTCTCAAATCCATACAACAACGATTAAAGACTTAGTCACCAGATTTAACAATAAGAACCAAAAAACACCTCTTTTTATAACCAAAAGTTTATCTAGAAAAATCAAAGAACTTGTTACCGGTCGTAAGTATTTACTTTGCCCGGAGTCTCAATCAATCAAACTCTCATAACAATCAAATTCTTGATTTAACCACACAATCCTCTAGCTATATTATTATGTGAAATAAATTGTAATTAAATTAAGCATGAAATGACTAGTTATTTATCTTGCACGAAAATTCAAGAAATCAAAATATAAGACACAATGACTCAAGAACCTTTACTGAACAAAAAATTTACTAAGAACCAAAAGTTAAATTAAAAAAAATATCACATACCATTAAATCAATAAGTCAATAACAATATTGTACTTCATTGAGAGGTTCTCCCCTAGCCCTAGTTAAACCTTTTAACAGACATGACAACAGTAAACCAAAGGAAAAATAAATACAAAATACTCAAAAACAAAAAGTACTCTCACATAACTCCCCCTTCCTTTATATAGTGCTAATTTGGAAAAGATCTAATTACGATCCAACTCTACTGCTGGCATTGGCATTC